CAGGCGCCATCGGCGCGCCCAAGATTCCGAACGTCACATGGGACGACGTCGGTGGTCTGACCAATGTCAAGGACGCAGTGACGGAAACCATTCAGCTGCCCCTCGAGAGGCCCGAACTCTTCGCCAAGGGCATGAAGAAGAGGTCGGGTATCCTGTTCTATGGACCTCCCGGTGCCGGAAAGACCCTGTTGGCGAAGGCTATTGCAACGGAGTACAGCTTGAACTTCTTCAGTGTCAAGGGTCCCGAGCTGCTCAACATGTACATTGGTGAGTCGGAAGCCAACGTCAGACGTGTGTTCCAACGTGCCAGAGATGCCCGCCCTTGCGTTGTCTTTTTCGACGAGTTGGATTCGGTGGCGCCAAAGCGTGGAAACCAGGGAGACAGTGGTGGTGTAATGGACCGCATCGTTTCCCAACTCCTCGCCGAATTGGACGGCATGTCGGGAGGCGACGATACCAGTGGCGGCGTCTTCGTCATTGGCGCCACGAACAGACCTGATCTGCTCGACGCCGCTCTTCTCCGTCCGGGACGTTTCGACAAGATGCTCTATCTCGGCGTGTCAGATACTCATGACAAGCAGCGTACGATCCTCGAGGCTCTCACCCGAAAGTAAGATCACCCACCCCTTCCTCCACGAAGATACCCATCTTGCGTATGTTGTATACTGACACTTTCCCGCTAGATTCACCCTCCACCCAGCAGTGTCTCTGCAAGCCGTCGCGGACCGCCTGCCCTTCACCTACACGGGGGCCGACTTTTACGCATTGTGCAGTGACGCGATGCTCAAGGCGGTCACGCGGCAAGCCGCGGCTGTTGACGCAAAGATCCGCGAGATTAACGCTGAGAGGCCGCAGGGACCCATCTCGACGGCCTACTTTTTTGATCACCACGCAACGCCCGAGGACATTGCCGTGATGGTCACCGAGGAGGACTTTATGAATGCGCATAACGAGCTCGTGCCGAGTGTCAGTGCCGGCGAGCTGGCGCATTACGAGAGTGTGAGGGCTAGCTTCGAGGGGTCGCCGGAAAAGCAGCAGCAGCCACAGCAACGGCCCGCTCCTGCTGCTGTCTCGTCGGCTGGGGGCAACAGGGCTGTTTCTGCGTCCTCGATTGTTTCGAGGGCTAGTTCTAAGGGGAAGGGGAAGGCGACTGCGGCCGCGTCGTCCAAGGGGAAAGGGAAGGCCTTGGCGCTAGATAGTGATGATGATGAGTACGGGTCCGAAGATGATGGCACTGTTACGAATGGCAAGGGAAAGGGCAAGGGCAAGGCCGTTGCTACATTTCAGGATGGAACGGCTAGTGATGATGAGGGATTGTACTAAGTTTTGAGGAAAGAGAGCAGAAAACAAATCAAAGGCTGTCGAGATACCGACACAGCATCTTTGAAATGTATACTTGGAATATTTGTAAGGGGTACTTTGTTTCCAATGGGGAGAATCATTGCGGAAATTGGAGTAATGATGCGGTATACACAGCATATGGTATATATTTCTGTAATTTACATGATCATGCTGGAACATTTGTACAGGAGCTTCTTTCCTCTCTTCATGGGCTCGATCCATCCTCCTCTCCTACACGAGGGCATTTCAGGCACACCCCTCTTCACTGTGCAAGAGCAAACGCCTCGGGACTTTAGCTGATGCGCTCCGCCTCCTCCATGAGCTTCTCGACACTAAACCGCTCATCCCCCAACCGGAACCACTCCAACAGCTTTCTCCTCTCCTCGGCCCTCTCCTTGCCCTCCGCCTCGCCATAGAACCGCTGCAGACACAGCACGAGCCACTGCGCGTGCGCCGTCTTGACCCCGCGGTCCTCGAGGCACTTGCCCTGCATCAGCACGAGGCCCCTGTCGGCCGCGAGGTCGGTGTGGTGCGTGATGGTCGTGTGCGGCTGGGCGAACTCGCCGCGCGCCTTGAACTCGGCGAGCTGCGTGAACATGACTGTCGCGGTGCGCGAGGCGGCGTCAAAGACCCATTGCAAGAAGTGGATCTCGGCGCCCTGGGACTCGTGCGGGACGGGGAGGATGAATTGCGGGTTCTGGCGGGCGAGGGATTCCATCTGCGCGTAGGTCGCTGCCGGGATCACGGCGCAGAGCGAGGACGGGTCCGAGGCGTGGCGGAGGCGCCAGATGGCTGTGAGTTCCTTGTCCGGCAGCTCGCGCGCCTTGGGGAGGTCGAGAATCTCGTCGAGGGGTTTGACGCCGTTGCCCGAGGAGGATCCGGGAATCGGGGCCTTGTCTTTTGTCTGTGTCTGGGCTTCTCCCGTCTCGCTCGTTGTTGTAGTAGCCGTCGTCGGTATCGCCGCGGGCGCGGGCTCGTCGTTGAGGAGGTGTTCGAGGCCCGGCACGGAGAGGGCGTCCTTCTTCTTCTGCTCCTGGATCTTGTCGGCGTAGGCGGCCTTGAGCTCGTCAATGTTGGAGACGCCCTCCTGCTGGGCCTTCTTCTCGAGCTTGGCGCGGTATTTTTCGACGACGGCGCGAGGTTGTTGGGTCGTGGCGAGGAAGCGGGCGTCGTGGACCTGGGCCCAGCGGCGTTGGTTTGAGGCGCGGAAGGCGCGTTGGGAGGTGGTGACCAGGTGCCGTAGGGCTGGGATCCGACAGGAGGCCATCGTTTGTGTGTGTATGTTGTGCGTAGGGGCGCGGACGTCGCAATTGGGTCTGTAGCCCTCGAGAGGGTCCGTATGCGATTCGTATGTGTACGGTGATCAAGGGCCGTGGGTGGTTTGGGTGAGGAGTGATGTTGATATGATGGTGGTGATGTCGATTGAGGACCGGATGGCAATAATTTTTACTGGGGTGGATGTCACTTGAAGATGCAGCGTCTTCGATTGCAGAGCTCTTGTGGGTCCCCGGATGGTGGGGCCGACTTTCGGCGCAGCTAGCCCGTGGTCGGCATTTTAGCTGCGCCGGGCGGGAACTCTGAATGAAGTACAGAGCTCTTGGTGATTGAGAAGACAATGATTTCTTTATCGAATGGTTTTAGCATGGTGTGTAAAAGTGAGATCAGCCTCCTTCTGTTTCGATTTGGTCTCTCGCGCATGCACCTTGAGTAATTCGCCCTGAGTAAACCGCCGCGTGGTTACATTATGTTCTCCATCTTGTATCCATCCCCGTCTCTTCCCACCCCGAATCTCTTCGGTGTTACGAGAGGTGTGGGCTCGGCTGGCTTCGCACCTCAGATCCAAGTTACGAGGACACTTACACAATACTTTTCCCAATACTTTCCAGTCATCCGCGCTGGTCCGTCTCCCGACAGAAACAGTTTTCGTTCCATCTCAAACCATCACAGCAGCTATCACCCCTTCCCGCTCCATCTAATGCTCAGGACCACTAAGATCCCCAGCCTAATGGAAAAATCCTTCGCGACACTTGGCTTGAGAAAGCCCAACGGAAGCTAGGGCGAAGAGCGTCACGCGCGGCCTGTTAATGCTGTTCATCTTTGCAACAGCACAACGTTGACCATGGAGCGTCAGGCTCGTTCATGCCTATCCCAAGTTTCACCCCGCCTCGATTCTCATGGTCTCACTGGGAATACCGTGAAACCAAATTGTTCTGTTGATGTTTAAAGTAAAATCATCAATCCGGCTCCCACAAGCTACCTGGTTCTTCGTTGCAGAATTACACACCATAAGATACCTACGCAGACATCGATGCCTCCCACTGCCGGCGACACCAGAAAGAATCAAAAGGGCTAACACCTAATTGGTAGATACAAGAACGTATACGAAAATGACAGGCGCCTGTCGGAAACGAGCCCATACTTGCCAATCTAGTTCAACGGGTTGAGTGAGTACCTCCACAGAGTTGGGATGTTAAGTGTACGGGACTTGCCAAACGACGATTCGGAGTAACTTTCCAGGACCTGGAGCACATCAGCCTACCTACCTCGGGATGTTTGCGTCTCCAGGCAGGTTTCGAGCTTCGCCTCCCTTCTGCAATAATGGACCGGGGTCCATACACGGCAATCTCACATAGGAGAAGCGCACTCGCCGTCGCGGGCTATCTTCAGTGCAGACTCGACATCAGCATCGCTCCCAGACGAGCGATGAATGAGACGATTCTCCTCGTTCAAGACTCGTTCAAGCACTAAAAGAGCTGAACCTTAATCACGAAATAAGGACCGTCATCCGAAAGTGCCTACCATTCCAACCCCGAAACATGAAGCTGCATAGAAACGAGGATGCATGCATGGGACACAAAATGCGGGGGAAAGCGCCGTTACTTACCCCATGCTTTCCCTCCCCCCTTAATCCGGGGTAGCAAGGCCGCTAAGATGCAAATGGCGTCCGGTTGGAGTGGTGGTGATGATGGACCAAGTCACCTACCAGGATTGGTCCAACCCCGACCGAACACCTGTTACCTGCTCGTTCTAGACCACACACGCGCAGCCATGCATGACGCGCAAACGAGTATGGCTCCCGTCCATCCCGTCCATCCGGGGTCGGTTTCGACGTGGTGACGCTTGTCAAAATGCGCGGGGAGAGGGGAAAAACCAGGCCAGGGGGGTTTTCCATTCTCCTTTAGTGTAAGGACGATCCGACATCCGGCAGTTCGTTCCCTTGCCCCCTCTCATCTCATCTCATCTCTATTCTGACTACATATCACCTTCTGTTCGTGCGCGCTATTTGATGACAGTTCGTCAGTATCAAGTGTGTTTTTAGTCTTTCAAAGGTTCATGTTGATGTTGTACAGGAACTATGGACAAAAAACAACGAAAATATGAAAACAAGTCCAGGAGTGGACTACAGGTAAGTTGGTCAGTCGCTCGAAAACCAAGTTCGAGGAGAAGGGGGGCGTCAAGTGGCCACCACTTTCTCTCGAACAGACTCTTTCCTCCTCTCTATCTCTCGGTACGCCGATTCCGCGTGGATATCTCTCTCTTTCTCATCTCCCAAGTCTAAGTCTCTCCTCTTCGTCTCTTTGTCTCTCTTCTTTGCTCTATTGTTTTGTTTTCACCCTTCCCTTCAGTCAGTCACTCAAAACATGATTAAGTGACTGCTTTTAGTCCTGCCAAGTGGGCTTGAAGGTCCAGCGCTCCTCGGCGCCCTGGGCAAAGGGAACACCGAGCTCAAACAGCTTGACAATGACGTTGGAGAAGTCCTTGAAGAAGGCCTCGTTGTCCTTGGCGTACACCTCGACCTGCTTCTTGAAAGCCTTGTCCTGGATCAAGGCGTAGTCGGCGGGAAGCATCATCAGGGACTTGGTGCTCTTGTCCTCGTACTGCGCGGGTCAAAATTGTTAGCACATTCGTCTCTCCTTGTTATGGTTTCCATTCCCCGCCAAGTCGGCGAGAGCGCCAAGATGGTAAAGAAGGGGGGGAGAGTTGGCTTACCTGAGCGGGGCCATCCCACTTCTTCCACTGCCACTTCTCGTTCAGGAGAAGCTTGTAGTAGTCGTTGGTCAGGACGGTAGGGGAGAAAGTCCAAGGGCCGTCGAAGCCGGAGCGGTCAACGTGGCAGCGGCCGAGGGCGTGGGCGCCGGAGAGGGCGACAATCTCCTGGTCGTTGAAGCCCATGCGGTAGAAGATGTCACGGAGGTGCTTCTCGCGCTGGGAGGCGTCGGGGAGACGGCCATCAGGGGTGCAGGCGGCAGCCTCGCCATCCTTGCGACCGGGGCGGTAGGGGATTATAGGGCCCTGCATCTCCTGGATGGCGGCGACGCCGCCGAGGATCCAGAGGTCGGAGTAAGTGATCCAGGGGAATTGCTCTACGAGAGAACGTTAGCGAGTGTTCGTTCCATTGGCATCCTATGCAGAAGGCGTTGCGCTTCGCTTCCAGATCGTCTTTCGAACTGCGACTCATTTGGAGGGAGAGGTTTCACTTACCCTTGACGGGCTGAAGGAAGTCACGGGCAGCCTTCAGGCCAGCGTTGGCGCCGTGGTCAGACTCGGGGGCGAAGCGCATGGTAGCACCGTTGCTGCCGCCAGTACCAGTCTCCTTGTCAAAGGTACCGCTGGCGTGCCACGCGAGACGGACGAGAACGGGGCCGTAGCTGCCGTCGTCGTAGTCGTCCTTCTCCTCGAGGCGGTCGGCAATGACCTTGTACACCTTCTCGTAGTCGGCCTTTGTGGGGTTGACGACCTTGGGGACGGAGCCGGCGGAGACGCCGCCCTCCTTGGTGAAGAGGTAGGCGCCGCCGGCGCCGGCGACGGCCAGGCCGGAGAGCCAGATCCAGGTGGAGCTGCCGGACTTGCTGGCGGGCTCGGAGGAGTAGAGGCGGCGGCCCTGCTGGCGGAAGGCCTGGCGGGGGGCGGCAGCGGCGAAGGAGGTTCTGGTGGAGGTTCTCAGCGCCGCGCGGGCGAACTGTCTTGTGGAAGCGGCCATCTGCGCGAGTTCAAACGTCAGATTGGGGGTTGTTTCTTGTGGGAGTGTGCGGTGTGTGTCTGCTGAGAGACACAGGCATATCGGGTAATCTCGGTTTGAGATAAGCGGCAGGGCAGAAGCTCGACGGCAAAGGGAACTGTGTAGGAGAGCTCTGACGGGAGTCTGAAGAGTACTAACCTTGGTGGAAGCTTTGATGAGGTGGTTATGGAGTTCCAGATAGAATCAACAACACGATTGAAGTAAATGGAAGAAGGGAAGGAGGCTTTCGAAGGAGGGGGGGGAAACGAAGTGGAAGGGGAGACTGGCGGCGCGGCCCTTTGAATATAAATCTCGAATGTTCGTTGCCCCGGGGGCGTTTGAGAAATACCAATGTACCCTGCACCGGCACCAGCCTGCCTTTGACACTAACAAGAGGTAGAGTCAGTTTCCACGGTCCATTGCCCATCGGGAAGGGGGGGTCAAGAACCGAGGGAGGGGGGACCTTTGGCAACCGTGAACCTGTGAAATGAGAAATTGGGAACTTCTGAGTGGTCAGAAGCAGGAGCTCCAGCGTCGACTGGGGTGTTACGGGTATCCATCTTTTTCTTCCATGGGCTTGCGTCGGGGGTCTGCTTGCAAGGGTCGATGGACGTGGACGGACGGTGGGACCGCCTCGCCATGTGGATATTCCAAGTTTGCTAGGCTTGTGTTCAAAGTCTTCTGCTCCCATTTACGTTTGCTAGGCCTTCGTTCGCGGTGAAGCCCGCTTTTGCGGCTGTTTGGTGTCCGTCCGTATTTGTGGCATTTATTTTTCTTCGCTTTTCTTACGGGCACATGTAGGTTACGGGCAGTAAAACGTAAAACGGTGGAAGATGTGCGCGTGGTGGTTGCTGCGCTAGCAAAACAGAGCCCGATATCGACTTTTCGAAACGTACCGGTCCCGGATACCGCCCGCCGTATCTTGCAAAATGACACGGGCTTTTGAGCTAAGGTACGCCGCACGGGATGATATCAGTCTACGCTGACACATGCCACATGGCTTCTAAACCATTTCCGTCCTTATTTTGCTTCAGTCTTACCTTACCTTACTATGTCGTTCTGACTCCCGATACGTAATCGGCTGAACTCCCTAACCGAGCATCTCCGAGGGATGATTTCATAAGCATTGAACAAAAATCCAAACACGAAGTATCAATGTCTTCACTTCATGTCGTAGGTAACCTCGTTGATATGTCTCGCCTCCCAAAATAACGACAGTTATCCCTCGGCTAGCAGACCGAACGTTCCCCGCTGACTGTACCACGCACGTCTGTCCTTTCATCTTGCAGTATTTGTAATTAATTGCCCGCCGTACCCAGTTTCCCCATCGCATCCGTTGACTCAGAAAGCCAAGCCCACCTCACCCCAAGGGCCCAAAACGGCCCCAGGTCCAGGACGGCGACGCATGGTAAGATCATAAAATTGGGCTCGCCGCTCGGGGAGCCGGGGAGGGAAAAGACGACATAGGCACGCATCCCCAGCGGACCTGAGAGTCGCCCCGAGATAAGCTACCTACACTACCGAACAAATTCTCATGAACGCTATCAGTGTACTTTTACACCCATTTTTCTACGACTCGAAACATGGGCAACGTGCTTTGTGACTTCACAACAACGCTGACTCGTCAGCAGCTATTCCTCGCCTCACCAACGTTGTTTCTCGGGATTTGCTCGTGCTCAGTCGGGAACAACGACCGCCTTATTGTACTGCCGTAAACCTTCATCCCGGGCTTACAACACGCGGACTGAACTGGGTTGCACCGCATCATCACGGCGCGCAATGCTCGCTCTCTCGCTCTCGGTTGTTCGGCGTTTTGCTTACTGTCAAGCTTTAAGGAATTGAAAGGACCCTTTTATGACGACAAGAAGCATACCGTTGTCGCCATAATCCCACCGGCTACCTCCTCCGGTACCATCCCCACCCTCCACTTCCCACGGGTTCGGATGCTCCCTCTCCAACCTCACGCCATCATACGGATTCCTACCCGAACTCACAATACCATCCAGTGAGGCACTTGCTTTACTATCTCTCTTCAACCAAAACCATTGAATTCGAGGAAATTGTACAACACTTGGGGTGCATGTGTCCCGGGGCTCATTAGCCACTTTCCCTCCATGACCCCTTTGGTCCCCTTTTTTCTTTCCTCAACGGCGCCGTTGCAAAAAACAAAACAAAAAAACGGTGCTCTCCATCCCAGAACCGTTTCCTCGGGAAACGTAGCCCAGCTCCGTCCCTGATAGGGCGGAAAATCTGAACCCTTTCCTTAGCCCCTTCATTACAACACCATCTAAAATGGGCAAAAACTTCCTTGTGCAGACTCACTAGTCACTAAGGTACTGTGTAAAGTGCCAACTCAATTCGCATACCCCTGTTCGTGCTTGGTAATTAGCCCCTTCTTCACCTGCATTATCTAGGGATTCTCTGTTTCTCTAACTTATGCTTTTTGCCCGATGCCGGCGACACGGGACAGACCCGGGCTTCAAAACTGCGATTCTTATGCGTACGTCAACGCGTCTTTCATATGCATTCACCAGTGACATTACATGCATCCAGCCATTGCTTTTGACAATCCTTATACAGCCCGAGGTGTGCGTTCTATCCGAACCTTGGAGGCCGGCGACGTTCCGTACCCCTACCATTTTTAGTTATGGAACTTCGGCGACCACCGGTTTCCATCGGCGGTGCTAACCGTAGCTAAACGCCGGCAACTTACCGGTACCTGCTGCCGGCCACCGGCATCATTATGGCTTAGTGCGTGTATACCGGGACCCCTCCGTCGCTGGTCAACGGCGCTCGTATAAGCCACGAAAACAAGGACGCTGCATTCCTTAACAATGTTCATTTGATGAGCTATTATTTCTGCTGTGATGATGCGTTTCGTAGTGCTCAAGAGCTACAACATCGACCTGCTTGGCGCCTTCAGCGAACCCCCTCTCTCCCCCCGACAGTCATGGTCTATCCGTTTGGGCCGTCGCCGGTCTCTATGTAGACCACCTTCATAACACTGGATACAATACAATTTCCCCGCAGCCGGCCATCCGCACATCATCTGTCGTCAGATCGACTCATATAGTACAAGAAAATTGAGTGGTAAAAATACCCAAGGGACAGGGAACTCCTGTACGTTGAAGCAACACCACGATGCATGGTTTCATGTCCGCCTAGTTGAATGGCGCTGTGGCCTGTCCCTCGAGGTCTGGTTCGCCCTGGAGCTCGTAGTATCTCAGATACCTGGCTTCGGCTCGGTATCTTGTTACCTCGTCCAACTCAGGCACAGCAGCTCCGTTCTCTTTTCCGCCAACCTCGTCCTTGGCCAGCAGTGAGATCGAGCCCGGCCTATCAGATTTTGTTAGCATCCGACTCGATTGAGGCAATGGTACAAGGCTTCACATACCCAAAGATCTCCCGGTCAATGGCAAGGAACTGCTTCATCGCGTCCTTACCGCCCCGCTGCTGTAAGTATGATAGGTAAATCTGATACAGCTCTTTCTTTGTCGAGGCGGACAAACGGCTCTTGCTCCGGAGTTCGTCAAAGATCTGCTTGATGCGGTCGCCGTGCTGATCCTCCAGCTCCGTGCTTGTCGCCTGCTGAAGCTCGAACTCGAGCCACTTGTCCCAAAAGACACGGCTGTCGGCGTACCACTGTACGTTCTTGAGGAAGACGTTGCGAGCTTCTTCCACTGAGCCCTTGACCCTCCATAAGAACAAGGCCCACTCGGTCACCAGAGCTGCCTTGGTAAAGATATCCACTTGAGGCGAATCGATCTGCGCCTTGAAAACCTCAACCGCGGCGTCCAGCCCGCTCTGTCGACGCTGGAGGTGAGCCCATGAGGTGATGGCCTCAATACAGTCGGGCAACTTCATGAGGATGGACTCATGAATGTCGCGAGCTATGTCGATACGTCCACAGCTTTCCTCAAAGTAGGCAAACTGCAGCCTGATGCCGGGCCGACTGATGGGTACAAACATAGTGGCGGCTCTCTGGTAGATGATTCTGACCTCTTCCTCCTTGCCCTCTTGTGCAGACATCCAGCGGGCGTAGCGGAACCAGAATTCGTCGTAGAAGGCGCATGTCACCAAGCATCGCTCATAAAGAAAGACGATGCGGGTAGTGTTCCCCTCGGACTCTTCAAAATCAAGGTACTTGCGCCAGTTGGTGAGCTGCGAGCTCTCAAGCTCGGTAACATGGAAGTAAGGGCGCTTCATTTCGGATTCGTAGGTCCATCGCTTGTTGGTCTCGGACTGCGTCTGGGTAAAGTACTCATAGTACATGGCGTCAATCTTGGTGCGCACGTCGCGTTCAACCTCGAGCTCCGTTCGCTGCGCACCGGCATACTGGGCACTCTCAGCCTCCACCTCGGCCTGGAATCTCTGCAGCGTCTCAGCCGGAACCAGCTCGGTGACGGGGCGGCTGTGGGAGAGCTGGCGGAATCGTTCAAAGTAACGAGCATACTGGTGCATCGGAATGTGGATGACTCGAGACAGGATGGCGAAGATTTTGTCTTGGGCCTCCTGTCGCTCCTCGTACTCTATGTACTTATCCCAGAACGGATGTGCGAGGAAGTCAAGGCCGACACAGGTGGCGCCGCGTTCAAAGAGCCTGGAGCGAATGGTCAGTACACAGCCAAGGGCGCAGGGACAGGGGATGAAGAGGGGTATGGGAGGCGTGCTATACAGGAGGGGTATCAAGTGAAATCAACTAGCGAATCCAAGCCCAAAGTAAGGCATTCCAATGAGAGCGATGTGGTGGTGGTGGTGTGAATGCGACGTGGAGCGGACAACGGATCAGTCATCGTCAAGTGGAAATCAGCAGAGCCTGGTAACTACTAGCGTGAGAGGGCATCCCAACAATGGGGCTGCTGTTGGCATTTCTCACCGACGGATACTTGAAAGGCAAATGGATGGAGTCCATGTATGGCTCGATCGATGCGCCGAGCGGCCGGTGAGGCATGCTGTGGTGATGGTGATGTTAAGGGGGAAGGAAAGCCGGCCATCAACTACTTACTCTCTGACGAGGTGTGGGACGTGTGTGGTCTCCATTTTGAAGGAGCAGTAGTCGGTCCACAAGTCGACAGAATTGGTGATGCTGGCGCATCCTCGCTCGTAGACCTAGAGAGAAGCGCAACGTCAGTCGCGGCCGGGAGCCAAGGGATGCAATGCGATGCGATGCGACGCGATGCGACACGAAACCGACTAACCATCTCTGCTGACTCGGGTCCAGCAATGTTGAACTCGAGGTCCGCGTACTTCTTCCAGTAGCCAAAGAGCAGAGGGAATTTGAGGAGGAAGCGATCGTAGGCATCTCGAAGAGTGGCAAGGGCCTGGGGGCTGGAGTTGCGGTTCAGGCCGCCCTCCAGACCCTCGCAGGCGCGAACCAGCTTCTCCCAAGTTTCGAAGTTATCGGGATCAACTTCCTGTGGGCGCGTATTCAGATTAGCATCTTTTTCAATTGATTTTGATATCAGGTGCGACATAGTTGGTGTCGCAGTTCACGTACCACATCGGCCTGGAGCTTCTTGATCTCGGCGCTCTCCTCCTCGGAGCTCCCAAAGTGGTCGTAATCAGACATGACGGGCGGAGATTTCAGATAACGAACGGCGGAATGACTGAGTTTCCAGGAAAAAGTCGGCGAGGCGCGGGACTGCGAAGGGCTGCAGCAGGGAGCAGGAAGGGATTGTAGATGGTGGAGTGAGGGCGCCGCGGATCTCGAGGCTGTTTGGTGGCCGTTGCAATCGTGGGTGACCGGGTCGAGCTTCGAGGTCGCGGATGGAAGGGGGGCTGGAAATTTTATGAACGGGCATTAAAGGTACGGATTGCCCGCAGGCAGGCAAGTATCTCTGCATGCAATTGGGGGAAATGGGGCTGAGGCAGGGTAAATGGCCTTGGAGACCGGAGGGACTTGTCTTTTTGGCGCCATGGCACCCAGAAGTAATGTACCTTGACAGGTGAACCCTTGCTCTCCGTGCTTTATCAGTGACGCGCGGAAGCGAATCAGATCGGCCAACAGCCTGAAGAGATCAGGCGGTCGGCAGTCCACAACTGAGCCGCTTCCATCAGCTCTCCAGACTCTTGGAGTTTAGCCAGGCACGTCCCGACTCTACATATTTGCAGCAAAGTCTACCACTCCTTGTTCTGCATTCTGTTCTACATAGGTTGGTACACTGGATGGTATCATGGTGTATCTGCAATCTGTGTGTGCTTTGCCCGGATCGATTGAAGGCGGCATCATCCTATCATCTAAGCTTCTTGCCACTCTGCTTATATCGCATGGCACTTCCAGAATCTGATCTAGAATCCGGAACGGAGCCGACAAACCAGAGTGGAGCAGGTTGTATCCGTCGTCTGGTCGTTTACCCCCTAGGGCGGAAGTCGTGAGTTTTCCCAGGTGGCCATCTTCGGCGGGCTAACTTAGGTAAGCAACCGGCAGCCAGTGGATCCTATTTGACGTCCGATATTCATGAAAAACCTTTCCTTTCTCTTTTTCCTCTTTTTCACAATAAGGCTCGTGATGATTACCATACAATACATGATAGGAAGAGAATGACTGACCACCCAAGGTGGCAGCGTGATCTCAATTTACATATCTGAAGCCTGCTTTGCCTCAAAGCATTGACATTATTATTCTTTCTGGCGCCTGCAGGGCATTTCCCAAACCCCAGGGCTGGCATCCTTTCCGCGTCTCATCTTTACATCTTTTCCCCCCTTTCCGCTCGTTTCCCCCATAAGCATATTCTTGGTGTCGTATCTAATTAGACACATTGTTCCTGCCCGTGATCAATCCTGAAGCGAAGAAAAGGGTTGTCCCCTGGCATTCGTCCCCCTATTATAGCTTATCACCTGCCTAAGTTGTGTTTTCTCCGAACTCGTACCTGATGGGTTGAGGGCACACGTCTCGTCATAGCAGGCGGCAGACCATCCAGCTGATTTTGGGATAGAAAAGACAGCATCGTAATCAGTCGCCAGCGCTGCGAGGGTTTCTACATAGTAGCAGTGCTCAGTTTCGACTGCAAGCATTCAGCAAACCTGAAAAACTCGGGTCCAATCCAGTGTGGTAGTCGTGACCAAAAATTGTTTCCGAGAGAAACGTCAGATAGTACCCTTCTTCAAATATCCGGTCAAACACGCATGGACTGAATTCAAGTCCATAGTGCTTTTTCAGCATGAAGGTGTACAGCTGGAGAGGAGGGTGTGGAGCGCAGTCCTCCCACGCCTCCTCACCACCGAGAAACAAATACCGATCTTGCAGAGTTACCGCTATGTCGAAATCATGGCAAGCGAAGGGGTTGCCGTCCTGTGCACTCTCTGAGGATGAGGCCTGTAATTGAGTCGCTACCAGTCGAGTACGATGCATGTCCTCGATGTTGATAGGCATCGATACCTCTTCCAATTGAAACTCCCCAAACAGAACAACTGTCACTTTACGCATGGGAGGCAGGTCAGAAGCAGTTGAGTTCTTGAACGGCGGCCAACCATGGCGATGCTTTCCACCGGCGTTAAAGAACTGGGGTGAGTGATACTCGTGGGCATAGATGGAAGCCATCACCTCCCATGGTACTTCGGCGGCACAGGCCGGGTCTAGGACAAGGGCGATGTCTTCTATCAAGTAACGAGCAAGATGCCCGAACACCTGTTCTTGGCTGGCTGGTGTCATCTTGTGAACGTCGTACACCGGGAACTCTGCAATGTATGCCTGGCTGTCGTCCGAAAGACCTTGCCAATCTCCGCGAGCTTGCAGTGATCGAAGCTCCTCGAGAAAGCGTTTCCCAGCCCCGTCTGCGGCAGCTTTGGTGAATAGCTCATTGTGGGACTTCCATAAGAAAGCGCCAGCGAGAAGGTTTTTGTATAGCACTCGATGGAATTTTCTTGGAAATCGTGAAAACGTTGATCGAATACGGTGTCGTCTTTGGTACACCAGGTGACATCTTTGATCTCGGGGCATAATAGACATTTGTACCCGTGTTCCTCAAAGTGAAAGTACGCGTACTCCAGACACGCAGCCAGATGACAGAACGCAAGTAAGTCCGCCAACTCGGGCAAACGGCACTTTTGGTGAGAGGGCTCCAGCTCTTCGATATCATCATGCGTCATATTAGGTGGTAGCCGGCCGGCGTGGAAGGCTTCTTTGACTGTATTTGTGGCGCGCACCTACGCAGTTGAAGTGAGTGATGGCGAGGCCTGTCGACGTTTGGGGAAGCAGATACCTACGGCAACGACAGCATGTTCGTACGCGGGGATTGTTCGCGTGCCAATGCTATGGATGATGCTCGCGCCATGGTCTAACCACACTGCGTAAGTATACTGACAGGGGCTGGCAAGAGCGAACGCGTCATTGAAGCTATCACAGCTGGCCAACACCCGGGCGATGATTTCTGGGGGGTATGAGGTGAACATTGCCATTGTCACGTGAATTAAGAAACTCAGGTAGCGGAAGAAGGAGAGGAAGGAGAGAAGCTGCAGGCAACAATAAGTAAACGCTTGCAAGTTGAGAGACAGGATAATCGACAGTGGAGGTCAAAGTACTCGAGGTACCTTAATGAGGCGGGTACTGATTCCCGACCTCACCTTGCCTACCTATACCTTACCATACATTACCCAGGTACCTACTCTATAGTACCAACGGCGCGGATCCACATTTATCATAGAAGCTCTCACCTCATCATTCTGAGAATCGAGCTGCATAGGTCGAGCCATCGCCAGCGTAAAATTGCAATTTATGGCCATAAAGCTAGGGACAATTTTTCTGCGGGTGAGCATGATTATGAATACACTGCAAGATGACTCGACTGCTCTAACACTTCTCCATAGGGTGGACAGGGTTCATCGCATGTCTAGTTTAGCTTGCTGCTTTGTCTTTGGAGGGAACCTTGTACAGTTCCCAAGAGCTGCCTCTCAATATATCATTCCCTGACTGTCTTTGAATCCAGAATGACTACGCGGTGACTATTGAAATGCTATACAGCCCAAAAAAAGGAAAAAAAAGACTTGTCGCGCAATATCTTGAGGTTGTTGCTAGAATTCCATCCATAATCGTACCTACTACCTTCGGTATGTGGAGATCCATGTTAAGGTACGGAGTAGCTGAAGTAGGTAGGTATTCGCAGAGTTGAGACAACACCAGACCATACCTATCCCTGCCTTGGAACAAGCACAAGCCGGCTGTTTTCTTCCAGGCTCCCAGATGGCGACAAGGCAAGGTGGTCCGTGAGGCTGAAACCACCTGGAAGGAAGCGAGCTGCCTCCCACTTGCCTGGCCAGTCGGAGCTTAAGGTAGGCGCTAAACGTACAGCGGTCCTATGCCCCTGGTTACCTCCGCCGGGACGGACGTCATTGTCGGGCTCCGTGTTGGCGACCCAAATTCCGCTATTGTCAGCCGCGACATTTTGCCAAACGCCATAAACCTTTGGGGGCTGTCAAGCCATACTACCTCAAGCTCCAACTTCGCATCAACAAAACGACGACATTCCGCACCGGTAGTCCCCTTCTCGCACGTTAACATCATCGACCTTGACTTCACTGGCCCGCCGACGACGGCGCCCTTCGATGAACCACCGAACTCGTCCAAGCATGCCCTGCGACGCCTGTGCTTCCCCGAACCTGTCAGCAACACCTCCGAACGATCATGGATTACTCCAGCTCTGGGACTTGGCCTTCTCAGGTGCCGGCACCAGAAAAGTCTAGCCAGCTGTACATTCGGGACTACCCCCATCGCTCCATCGCAATAGTTTCGTCCTCTCATGCTCTCATATTTCGCTACAGCTCCTCGAGCGCCGGCGCAAACGGCTCCCTTACCTCCCTCGCATCCACCCGTTCACGACCCAATGGCGACCCTGCTGCGTCGAAATGCATGGTCGAGTTTACTCAGATCACAAAAAAGACGCTTGCCGAATACCGACCGCTGACCCCACGACCCATCTTTGGAACGTTGGGTTTGATTTCTGTCGAGGGCGACGTGTTCCTTTCCGTTGTGACACATGCCACAAGAGTCGCTACCCTTAGGCCGGGGGAGACCGTGGAACGGATTGCGAGCGTTGCATTCTTCTGCCTCAACAGAAGCGAGTGGGACGATGTTGTCTCTCTCGATCCTCTAGATTCCGAGGTCTCGGATGCCAACTCTGTGTATGGCCAGAACCTCAGAGGGCGGGAGCTTCAGGTGGAACATCCTTGTACGGACCTTCGGAAACTTCTGGGAAATGGAACATTCTACTACAGCACCGACTTCGATCTCACCAATAGGTTGCAAGATAGGTATGGTCGTGTCCAGTTCCGGCTATAATGCGTCGCTGACCATGTAGGACCGTGAATTCTTATACTTTTGACATTGACAACTTTGACGATTCCTTCCTGTGGAACTCGTACATGATCAGCCCATTGGTCCAGTTTAGGTCTCGACTGCAGCCCCAGGAGCGCGAAGCTTTGGATTCATCACGATTCCTCACATCTGCTATCCGTGGGTTCTGTCGGACAATGGCCATCCCCCAGACGAGTGCTCCTCTCAAAACGCGATCAACCGGGCTACCATCGTACCTGACCGTTGTATCAAGACTCTCTTGTCGCAGAGCAGGAACCCGATTCAACTCCAGAGGTATTGACGATGACGGCAACGTGGCAAACTTTGTCGAGACAGAAACCATATACTGGAGCCCCGGCGGGACTCTCTTTTCCTATGCTCAAGTCAGAGGTTCAGTTCCTCTATTTTGGGAACAGACTGCGGAGCTCATCCCTGGCAAGCAAAACATTACCGTTATCAGGTCCCCCGAGGGAGCCCAGCCGGCCTTCAATAAACACTTTGCGGACCTGGAGCAAGCCTACGGCGCCGTTCACGTGGTCAATCTTCTGAGTGAAGGCAAACCTGGCGAGGCGCAGCTCAGTCAGTTGTACCATCTCGGTGTAGAACATTGTCCATTAAGCCAGGTTGGGGAGCACGAGTCGCAAGACCATGCGCTGTTGAGAGAGACCCACTACGACTTCCATGCCGAGACGAAAGGCCCCGGAGGGTACGAGGCTGCGCGCCAGATCCGCAGATACATTGAGAACTCGATAGACGGCTTCGCCTACTACTTGGCGGAGCAGAATGAAGATCTAGGCGCTGAGGCCAACGACGGTCAAGGCTCAAGCCGTATGGTAGTGGTTCTCCAGCAAGAGGGCGTGTTCCGAACAAACTGTCTCGACTGTCTGGATAGGACAAACTTGATCCAGACCCTCATCTCTCAGATGGCTACAGAGGCTTTCCTGGGCCATCGAGGCGAGTACGCCACCTCGGATTTTTGGATGCGGCACTCGACCTTGTGGGCAGACAACGGAGACGCTCTTTCGAAGATCTACGCGGGAACTGGTGCACTCAAATCGTCCTTTACCCGTTCTGGAAAAATGTCCCTGGCTGGAGCTGTTGCAGACATGCGCAAATCTGTGCAGCGTCTCTATCACAATAATTTCACAGATTCGGCTAGGCAAACGACCATTGACCGGCTGCTGGGAAGGCTGGTCAACCAACTACCCGTTCTTCTTTTCGACCCTATAAGTGATTACGTTTCTGGAGAATTAACAAAGAGAAGCGCTGAGTTCTCGTCCACACAGGACATAAGCATGTAAGAATTCTGTGCGCACCCTTGGCTCTCATGCTTACCCGCGTAGGTTGGTCGGTACTTTCAACCTTAACGGTCGCACTGAAGGCGTCGATAGCGATCTTGATGCATGGTTGTCTCCAGCAGAACTTGGCAATGTGCAGCCCGAAATAGTTGCTGTTGGATTCCAAGAGATTGTCGAGTTGAGCCCACAACAAATCATGAACAGCGACCCCTCAAGGAAACAACTTTGGGAAGCTGCAGTCAGAAGATGCCTCAATAAACGCGCCAAGTCGCTTGATGGAGAGAGATACGTATTGCTCCGGAGTGGACAACTCGTCGGCGCGGCATTATGCATTTTTGTCAAGGCATCGGCCTTGGCCAACATTAAGAATGTTGAGGGAAGCGTAAAGAAAACGGGGCTATCGGGAATGGCCGGCAACAAAGGAGCGGTTGCCATACGATTTGACTACGCGAATACCCATATCTGCTTCGTGACAGCCCATTTGGCTGCCGGATTTTCGAATTATGACGAGAGAAATAGAGATTACGCAACGATTCACCACGGGCTACGCTTTCAGCGAAACCGTGGGATCGATGATCACGGTAGCTATATTCATCCCGAAGGCTTATATCACCCATGAGCTTAGAGTTGACCTTGGAGCAGATGCCGTTGTTTGGCTGGGAGACTTCAACTACAGAATTGGCCTCAGTTCTGAGAACGCCCGCAGTCTAATCAAAAAGGGCGATCTAGAGACACTTTACGAGAACGATCAGGTGAGTAGTTAATATCCGCCCGTGTTCCCCATCAACATGCTGACTACTTGGTAGTTGAACCTTCAAATGATCGCAGGACTTGCGTTTCCCTTTTATTCAGAGGCCCGTATCAATTTCCTGCCAACATACAAGTTCGATCTTGGCACGGACAATTATGATACTTCGTACGTTCAAAAGGTCGATATATCTGAGAATGTAAAAACTGATCCCTCACAGCGAGAAAGCCCGTATCCCAGCCTGGACCGATCGCATTCTGCGCAAGGGTGGGAGCCTGCGTCAACTAGCGTACAACTCAGCTCCTCTCAAGTTCTCGGATCACCGGCCAGTGTACGCTCTATTCCAGTGCAACGTCAGTATTGTCGATGAAGCTTTCCGAGATCAAATCAGCAAAGAGCTATACCAACGGCGAAAGGCCGAAGTTGGAGACACGACGGCAAATCTGGACTCAGAGGAAACCGACGATGAGGATCTGATTGGCTATGAAGCCATCGAGCCTGGGCTGCCTCCTGCCAGCTCCGACCGCCAGAAATGGTGGTTGGAGAACAAGCAGCAGGCCAGAGTTGACATCAAGCAACCGACGGCTCCCGAGGGCCACGCCGCAATACTCAACCCTAATAGGGCGCCCAATCCTTTCACGCCGACTGGAGAGCCTGACTGGGTCAACGTACCCAGGTCAAGATTGTCGTCTTTCTCCAGCGTATCAACTTCGCCATACGAGCACGTTTCTGCGCCCAATGATCTCTCGTCGTCGGCAACGAACCGGATAACCAGGAAGCTGCCTCCGCCTTTTGATCCGTCAGGCATGCCAGGAAAATTTAACGGCCTCAGCATCAAAGATGAAAAGTCGCAACGCGGAGAAACGCCTCCTCCGCCACCGCCGCCTAGAAGACAGACGGGAGCAAGCGCAGCAATCCAGCACCCACCACTGATACCCTCCAATAAATCGCGAAATACGACAACAACGCCTCCTCCGCGACCGTCATCCGCCATTTCCCAGCTTTCGCAGGTGTCGCCACAATCCAAATCCAAACCGGCACCACCTGTGGCGAAGAAGCCGGCACACCTGGTTACAGCACCGGCTGCAGCATCTTCAGCTCTGAGTAGCAATGGGATGGGTCAGTATAGAGATGAGCCGGAAGAAAAACCACCACTGCCTGTCCGAGCCTCGACAGGCTTCACGAATCTGGGTGCGAGTAGGGAGGGCACTCTCCGTAAGCCAGTAGGTACGCCGGCTAAGCCTCCCAAGCGAGCGGGAACCATGACTATTGAGTCCGGGAGGCACACTCCGATGGCTGGGGCCGTCGCTCTACCGGGAATGAGGGCTGGTGAGGAACGACCAAAGCCAAAGATCCCGGCAAAGAAGAAGGCGCCGGTAGACTTGCTAGACTCACTGGGTGACGATGGACCCAGCGACATGGGAAGCTGGGAGACGTTGGTTCCCAGCTCTCAGAGATGACGGGATCGGATCTCAAGTCTTTCATGACGAAGTTATGGACAAGCTAGCGGGTGATGCTAGAAGCAAAAACGGCGATACTGCCTTTGATGATTGATGTGAATAGGCAATAGCATTGAGCTGACTCGGGCGGGCTCACATTGCTACGGCGCTGTAGTGGATGATTAGACGGAGTGAAGCATACAAAAAGCAAATGTCGATCAAAATGGCTTGAAAACGCAAGTACCGTGTTCCACGAACCCACTGGCGTTTTCCACTGTTTTACTCAGTATTGTTTGTCATAGAGCGGAGAGGTTACAATACCTCTTAGACTGAGAGAACCGCCTATGCCCCGCCTAGGAGGCTGGCTGTAAGTAATTCTAGAAGCCGGTCGGTATGAGTGAGCCGGGGAGTAGGTGGCGACGCCCGAACGCCAATCGGCTTCCATACCACAGCCACCCACATCACAACGCCATTCCAAGATAATGTGTTCTTTCAGTTTTCACCTTGATCGCAAAGCGGCCTCACCGAATCTGGACGGATGGTCCCTGGAGTTCAGCACTGGCAGGGGGGAAGAGGAGAGCTGATACCCTTATTTTTTGTAACCCCCCAGTTCTATCCGTTGCATGGTCTCTCTCCCGCCCCGCTGCAAGTCGTCTGGGGGTTGTCTACCAACGATACATCCCTACGGAGGTCCAATCCTCACGATCGCAATGTCCGTAATGACTGAGACACTTCACCGCTCTCTTGAGGTCCAGAAGGATGAAGTCAGGGCGTCCTCCGCCTTTCTGAGCGTGCGTGCGTCTTCAGGAGTTCATTGACATCTGACAGCGGCACCGTCCAAGCACGAAGGCACCGCCCTAGTCCAAGTCCAAGTCACGCCCCTCGGGCGCCACAGCGAACAGCGAACAGGGGGGCTGCTGGTTGAGACTGGAAAGGGAGAGGAGGGGGGATGTTCGAGCTGTCGGTCTCTGACTCTCTCAACCTCTTCCCCCTTAGCTTGTGTGACTTGACAGAGGAGGGGGACGGAGGGGGGAGAGACCGACAGAGAGATCACCCATGGAATTGTACCACGAAGACGAAGTGTCACCGCACGCGCCGCGCCGCCTTCGTGATGTCGGTTGTCCGCCATGGACCGCTTCCGGGTGTGACGTGGTAACTCACTCAAATAACCCACGCGGGAGGACCCTTCTCTCCAAGACTCCAACAGCGTGATACCTAAGTGGACGATCAGATATAGAGAGATTGGCAAGCATAAAAACAAAAACAAGAACAAGAACAAGGAATCTACTACGATCGACCCTGTCACTGCCAGTTTCCATGGACCATCTGACAACACCATCTTGCTCTCCTAGTGCGGCACCCGGCAGTGGTCAATGGTCATACTGGACTGGGCCTGCCGATCGTGGGGCAGACGAGGCCCGAACCAGGCAAACGTCGCCAAGGGAAGCCCACCCAAATTACCTCCATACGCAGGTAGAGGCAGTTGGTGGCATTGTCGTGCATGCCTAGTATGATAGAAGCACCAAAGCAAGAGAGAACCGGTTCCCTTCGAAACGCTCGACACTACCTTTGCCTTTTGTTCCACCAAGGGTCATCTAACCGCGCAAGTCTTGTTTTTCTCTTTCGTTTCCTAAGCGGCGTACGAGCCGGTCTGCTTCATCTTCCGGCTCGTCTCCATCCCGTCCCATCTTCCTAACCCTCTCTTTTCTTCGTTCGTTCGTTCGTTTCTTTCTTCCTTTCTTTCTTCACAACCTAAAACCGCTTCCACCCCCATCCTCTCGTCCACCGGCATAGCACGCTACAGTCTGCACACCCCTTTTGCTCAGGCACACGCATCCAAGCTTTTCTCAACTGTCCTGCAGATCGTATCGGTGCTACCTTACCCCTACCTGCTGGGCTGCTGTCGCTTCGTCTGTTCGTATGTGCTTTTAATACCAAAGTCACCTGTCGGAACTTACCTTGCCTGCCCCTCTCTCTTCTTCCACCAGACCTTTTTTAGTTTGCAAGGGCCGAACGCCAGACGAACGGACGGACGCTTGTCGCGACGAACGACCTCGAACGAACGAACCCCACCCGCTTCGCTCCCTACCCGTTTGTCGTTCGTCTCCTAGTTGCTGGCTGCCGCTACCTACTCCTCTCCAAGGGGTGGTTTGTTTTGTTTCCTTTTCATGAGACGCTTTGCAGCAACGTACATCCCCTACTAAGACGCATGGCTTCGACCATACGGATCTTGCTTTCCGAACTCTCATATCACGCAAACCAACGCTCCTCAGCTTGATACCAACTTGGTTGGCTCTATTACCAAAACACCCTAACCTAAACATAATCACAAGCCCACCGCCGTCGACCACAACTCCTGGCTGTTCCATTTGATATCTTTTCTTCTTCCGAACGTGCTTCCATCACCGCCGCTGCTACTGGGATTTCATTTCTTATTCTCATCCCTAACCTGACTTAACCCCCGCCCAACCTACCACCTTTCAATTTAATTGCTCTTTTGTTTTTGTTTCATACGCCCGGGGGCGTTCACTCTCCCGCTAAGACCTGCGTACCACCCAAAAGAGAAGACTGGATGGCAAGAAGAGGCTTGACTCGTCCATCCATCGTCTTGTATTCTTGCTCTCGTTTGCCGCTGTTCTGAACAAGCCAAGGAAGTGAGAGAGCGGGAAATACTCGACTTCCCCCTACCATCTCGACCTGCCCATCTTCGTACACATCTTGACAATTCCCGACCTGATTCAAGTCATCTGGTCACCGGCCACACCTACTTGCCTCACAAAACAAACACCAACACCCGCACACCCGCACATGCACACACGCATACACCGCCCATCTTATCTTCGAATCCGGGGTTGGCGCCGACTTAATCACACTTGGAGTGTACCTTACACACACGACGGAAGAGCACATGAACGGGACGTTAGAGACCATCTACCGAGCAGAGACAGCCTTGCATAACACCCGAACAGGTCTCGTGTTACCTACGCATTATTAGACGGCCACCAACTTTGTCACTCTAATATTCTCCTTTTCTTTTAACATCCTCGTCTCTCCTCCCATCTTACACCTTTTCCTGTCTGTTTTGCCTCGGACGATATCATCAAAACGGACGGACCTTGTTAATACCTGTTCTCAACGTTCAACACCTAATTTTCTCTCTCACCTGTATGTTTTGGGCTTCTGTCACGTAGAGCGCAGACCTTCTCGAAGACACTCTCCTACCGACATTTTCTGCTTTCGGTCTTGGCTTGAGCATCATCTTCATTCCAAGATCAGCAACCGAGACCCCCAATCCCCGTTACGACGAACAAACCGCGAACGGCCACTGGATGGGTGCTTGGCCACACAATACTTCATAGGAGGAAACGGTCACCAACACCCGCTGCATACTCACAAATCGAAGCACCTTGTTCGACTTGAGCAAATATCAACCTACCATATACCCGGACCAACATCCAAGGAGGGGAAAAAGCGTACAAAATGTCCAACCCAACTCTCTCAAAGCAACAGCGCATCCAAGTCTGGCGTGAAGAGGTAGCGGCCTCAGCATCCCTTTGCACATGCCCGCCCTCCTCCCCAGCGGCCTCCGCCTCCTCAACAAACATTTCCCTCTCCGCGGCCTCCTCCTCGGCGTCCTCATCTGCATCCTCGCCGGGAGCAGGTGACGCCTTCACCTTCCCCCGTAGCGACATCTTGCCGGGGCAAGGAACATACTGCCCAACATGCTCCCGCCTCGGCGCCCCGTCCGCTATGGGTCTGGAGCCCTCGTCCGCCTACCTCGACCAGACGCAACCCGGCGCGGTTCTCCCCGGTAGCCACATCGCTCCGGGCATCTTCCGCGCAAAGACGGCCAACAACGCACTCTTCCGCGGCATGCGTAATTTTGTCCGCAAGCTCAGCGGGAGCAGGACAAGCGGGCCTATGCCACCCCGCGGCGCCGAGGACGCAACTAAGATGTACCGACGGGCAACTCTAGCCGGCTGGCCCACAGCCACGAATACGGCACTAGCCGCCGAAGCAGCGGCGGCGATGGCGGCAGGGGATGAACCAGACGCCGAAGACGCCGACTGCGCCGTTGACGAGGCGGACTCGGAGGGCCGGGGCCATGTGCCGAAGCTCATCGCCGAGAAGCAAGCGAGGCTCAGGAGGGCCGAGAGGCTGCTTGCGAGGACGAACGCGGGCCGTTAGAAGCGTACATGTACACGATGGAATACGAGAAAAGCAGGTGAACCGGGAAAGACGAGTGTGTGAAACGCATGGGAGTTGCGAATACCATGAGGCGCAGATCGGATTTTCCTTTTGGTTTTTGGTTTCTTGGAAATACGGAGGAGTTCTGGGGTATGGCTTTCTGGGCTGCTAGGCGTTTTTGAAATGTGCCATCCACAGTACATGGTTGTATTCTGGCATGTTCAGGAAATATTACCAGGGAATACCAATTTGTTCATGATTCTACACACCACCTACCTGTTTTCTCAATGACGTATTAATCTAGTGGTCTGCTTGTCGGTATTTGACAGCCTCGTCACATCGTGGATAGCTCATGATTAGCCGTCCTGTTGCCAGTCATGAGATCTGCAGGTGTGCCCGTCACATGTTCCACAGACCTCCTCTGATCACCTCTCATCCCAAGACTCCCAAGGCATCATTATCAAATCACAGCCTATTAGATCACAGCACGGCGTCGGACACATGTATTGATGAACATTTGTTATTTTCTTTTTGGTCTTGTAGACTGAATAGACAGGGGGCATTTGAGGGGGGCAAAAGGACTTTCTCTCCGCGAGAAGACGCGCGACAACTGAAGGACCACTATGAGGAAAACCGAAAAGAGAACACGAGACAGCCGTAAAACCATCCAGCACAGAGGTAAAAGCAGGAATCGAGGAGAACAAAAGAAGAGATTCTGAGCGTAGGCGGATATAGAGGGGGGAATCAGTAGTTGGTTGCCAAGTGGAATCCCTGAACAGAAACGAAGCTGTTCTAGACCCTGGTTGGACATCCAAGACACCAATAGAAATCATGCCACGCATTGTTCCTTTCTCCGCGTCCAATCCTCAAAAACCCCTCCCCTTTTGCTGCGAGACTCGGAGCGAGTCACCGATATTGGCCACCGATTTGGCGGCTAGACTGGGGCCGTCAGAAGGTCCGCATTTAGCGCATACCGACGGCCGAGCAGACGAGCCATCTCAGCCTCGTCGCGAGCCGAGATGGAGTGGTATCAGGGTAAGACAAGAATTTAGGAGGCAGCGGGGGTCTCCTCGGTGGCCTTGGGCTCCTCGGCCTTGGGCTCCTCCTTCTTCTCCTCAGCAGCCTCGGTGGTGCCGGCAGCAGCACCCTCAGCGTCGCCGCTGTCGGAAGAGGTCCAGAGAGTGAGGTTGTCACGCAGGAGCTGCATGATGAGGGTGCTGTCGCGGTAAGACTCCTCGGAGAGAGAGTCGAGCTCGGCGATAGCATCGTCGAAGGCCTGCTTGGCGAGGTGGCAAGCACGGTCGGGCGAGTTCAGGATCTCGTAGTAGAAGACGGAGAAGTTGAGGGCCAGGCCAAGGCGGATGGGGTGAGTGGGGGTCAGCTCGGTCTGAGCGACATCGGTAGCGCTCTAAAGGAGAGAGGGTCGTATTGTCAGATTCCATGTTCTCTGATACGGCAGCATTCAACCCGGATCATTCTCACCTTGTAGGCGTCGTGGGCAGCAGTGGCAGCACCCTTGCGCTTCTCGCCGGAGGCGAACTCAGCGAGGTAGCGGTGGTAGTCACCCTTCCTATTTCACGGAGTGCCACGGTTAGTTTCGGAAATTGGACCTTTGATCAAAACCGCCGGCAGCGGCGGCGACGGCGTCGGATAACGTACATCTTGTGGTAAAAGACCTTGGACTCGCCGGTCTGGGCGTTGGGGATAAGGCTGTCGTCGAGGACATCGAGGACATCCTGGCAGACCTGCTCGAGCTCGAGCTCGATCTTGGTGCGGTACTCGCGGATGGTGCCGACGTGCTTGTCGGTGCCCTTGCTCTCCTCCTTCTGCTCAATGGAGGAGATGATGCGCCAGGAGGCACGGCGGGTACCGACGACGTTCTTGTAGGCAACGCTGAGGAGGTTGCGCTCATCGACGCTCAGCTCACCGCCCAGCTTGGCGACCTCCTTCATGTAGCCAACCATCTCATCGTAGCGCTCGGCCTGCTCGCAAAGGCGGGCGAGGAAGGTCTTGCTGTAAGGAAAGGGTCAGTCAGAGAAAGAAAAAGTTCGCTAAAGACCTCGAGGCCAGATGGTTGTGGTTGATGGGACGTAGTCAATCGACGTCGAAGAGGGCTCGGCACAAACCTTTCACGCTAGAAGAGGGGCACAAGTCAGCATACTTTGTTCCCGAGGCGGGCGATAGGAGGCATGAGTTATTTGAAAGGGGAGAAAGAAGGCCGCCGGGGTCGGAGAAGCCGGTCGAGGCAAAAATGGCATCGATCGCAGGATTCAGAGCTGTGGATCAAGGATCGCATTATGGGCATCTTCGTTGCCGTGACACAGGCAGGCAGGGCAATCGAGGGGCTCCGGAGGGGTTTTGGGGTGAGGTTGTGTTGGGCAGCGTGGGGGAAAAGGTACTTACATCGCCAGACATGTTGAACTCTTGGATTGAGGTGATGAGGATAGGTTGAGGTGGTTTGGTAGAAAATGAAAGAAGGCGGGAATGGATACTGCGAAAGGCGTGCAACGGAGTGGTGAGAAAGTTGACGCGGCTTTGTTTTGTTGTTGAAGAGTGGAAAAAGGTGTGCGGTGGGAGAAGGAGGGAAGGCGGAGGGAGTGTTTACGTGTGACGAATTATTTTGGGAGAGGGGGGAATCTCAAAGGGAAGTTGCGAGGCCAGTCCAGTGAAGATTTAATTGGGTTGGTCCAAGTCCCAAGTCCCAAGGTCGTTCTTTCCCTCCCAGTCTTCCACCAAAGGTACCTGCCTACCTACCCGACTACCTTACCTTAGCTAAGGTAGCCTTAGGGAGGTGCCGCCCATTCACCCCCTCCACCTGCGCACGTTGGGGTCACCTCTTTGGTACCTTACCCTCATATTTCTGCTGCTTGCACTTGAGCTCACATTGCTCTGTTTCGGTAAGACAAGGGACATGAAGTCCTTGGGTTCCATAGCACCAGATATTGCAATTCCTATCTGAGAATAAGGTATGTGGTTTCAATCTTCATCCACCCTGTTCTCTCGATACAGTGTAGGCACCTCCATTGCAGTGCCCTTCTCTGTGCTGTAATTAGTCGACTGAGCTTGCCTGCCCTGTGCCTGCTGGCTGCACCTGCCGCTTCGACCCCACTATGTTCCCTTTTCTCCCCTCCCCTCGCTTGCCTGCGGCTTGGCCCTTCTGCGTTGGCCTGTGCTGGGAGAGAAGAACCCTGGAATTGGATTGGAATGGACGGATCGAGTGAATTGGATATTGCTGTGGACGTGGTCAGGCTCTCGGGGCTCGGGGACTCTGGCAAATGGGCCCCCAGGGCATGGGCGTGTTCCCATTTGGCGGGAAGGGAAGAGAAATGGGGGCGCTGGGCTGGGCTAGGCTCTCCATCATCAATATTTTAGGCCCCAAGATACTTCGCCTTGCGTGCCTCGGACAGTTGAGAAAGCACCATCTGGCCCAAGGTACCAAGGACTGGTGAATGGACTATGCCCATGTGGCGAGGCAGTGAAAGCGGTTTTCTGCTATCGTTCCCCTAATTATCATCACCCTATCTTTGCATTCGTTGCAATCCGTACTGTATATTCAAAGTACCAGGGCTTCACATACGTATTGTGAGTGAACGGGAGAGCATCAGAGAGACAGGAAACGGACGGGAAAGTCAACCTGAGTTCCATTTGCATGTGGTGAGGTCCGCGTTTCTGGTGGAGAGCGGCCCTGAGATTAGCCTGCCCACCGAGCCCATCAAAGGCACGATTCCGCTTCCAAAGAACCAGGCTCATGATGTATCTCCCTGGTCCACAACTGACGTCCATCCGGTTGGCCTGGGCCGTGTATGTACCGCAGAAGTACTCCCAGAGTTCGTACCTCGACGCTTGAACAGCAACTCGAGCGAACAACTGCTTTCTGATAACAACGAGTCTCTTAACATCCTTGGAATATCACTTGCTTCATGGTTGAAAGTAGTATTCAAAGAGCCTGAAACCGTCCCTTCCGGGCTATTGGCAAATTACCGATGGGATGGATCAGTTGCCCATTTGAGCTTCAGAGCTATCTTGAGGCCGCTCAGGTAGGAATGGGAATCTTGATGAAATTAGCAACACAATGACCTCTTCAGGCCAGGAAATTGCACAGTAAAGGCTGGAACAGAAGAAGAAGAAGAAGAAATGAGCTCGCAAATGAGTCTGCCAGAAGGGGGGGACTCGGGGAGGGTTCAGGTCGCTCAGATAACTCCGGTGAAGGTCATTTGCTTTTTGGCTTCTTGAATGCGAGCTCCAGCCTCGAAATGCTGCGTGTGTGGTGGGCAGTTGGCCAGCTCAGCACAGCACAGCATAACACAAGCATAGGAACATCCTAAATACTGGCTGCTGACTGGCTGACTTGGTTCTCGGGGCTAGCCCCACCCTCTCCTCTCCATGCATTTCCCCGCTCCTGTTTTTGCGACACGCCCGCCATGTACGTATCTTCTTCCCTGACCACAACAGCTTTTTCTTTTCTTTTTCGGAGTCTCGTGATTCTTTCCTTCTGGTGATACCGTGATTCTCTCCCGTTCCAAGCGCATCCACGCGTGATGGTGTCCGCTGGCCCTTACCTCACCGCACACCCTGCAGTCTCTCCATCAACGGACAGCCCGCTCCCCTCAGTTCACCTATCACCTCCGTCGTGGATACTTCACTTCAACTTGTTGCCGCTTGCTCTACCCATACGAATACCCAGCACGAGATGGCGCAACTTCCAGTGCAGCAACAAAATTCAACAGGCCACAGGCGCCCAATGCCAGGGTCTGACGGATCTAAGCAAACGATATCTCGTGGCACTCGCTGTTCCAGAACCCCATTTGGATTGGGCCGTGTCTCGAATCAACTACAGTGCTTTTCTGATGGCTTACCTCATCTCGCCGAAATGCTCGAAGACGCGCATCAAATGCCATCCCAAGTTGTCTCAAACTCACATAATCCATACCTAGCTTGTGAGTCGTCCTCAACGACATCTACTATCTAACCGAATTTCTCTCTTTTCGTAGTCTGTTACCCAGTTGCTAAATTGGACTGAATCTCTCGTGGTTGGAGACAAGGGAAATCATCTGACACACAAGATGAAGAGGTAATAAGCGTTATTGCGAGCGTCAAAAGACCCTGGGCACCAGCCCACTGGATTCAGATTGCACCCTGGATATTGGAGATTGGAAGTCGAAACGGCGAGTCGGAATCCTACAACGACCTTGTAGCCGTCGACACCAGCTTCTACGCAGTACATTTGATGTCTTGCCTTTGGGCCAATCGTTGTCAGTCATGGTTTCGCTCCACCGTCTCGTTCAACAGTCTGCGTTGCCTCGCAGAACCCGGTGCCTCTTTGCCGAGAGCAGCAGCCACCCGGTCGACTAAGCCACGACCCCCTCCGGTTTACATTGCCGCCTGACCACGATGGTATCTTCTTATTTTGGTCTGCATCTACTCGTGCCAGTCACTACAAGATGCTCCGTCTGTGGCTCTCCCTGTGTTGTTGTTGCGCTCGCGCACATGCTTGTCGAGAGCGCTGTGCTGTGTCATGCACGAAACCACCTTGCCCACCCGCTTACGCCCAATCTGCAAAATGTCCGATCGTTCATCAATCTGCTGTCGTGTCTTTCTAACTTAAACCCCAAAGAAACCGGTTTCAACTTCCAACCCAAGGGATGATCCCCCGTTGGATCAGCGTGCCATCCGCCATCCCCGGCTTGTCTCCTCGTAGGCCCAGAGGCCCTGCGAGTGAAACGTGAACCACAGCGACTAATACTGCCATCATAATGTACGGAAACAGCAAACTCACGTCAACCCAACTCCGCCTGCGAGACGAAGCAGTCTTTCTCTATGGCCGAATATAGATAACTATCACACTCTGAAATCTGGTCCCCCAATCTCTCGGCAGCCCTTCTCGTCCCAACTTCGAAGCCAACCACTGCCACCACACCAACTCGATGCCATCATAGGTAGCTTTCGGGTGGGTGACTCACATCCAGCACAGCCCTGGGGGGGGGGGATCCTCCATGCAGTCGGGTCGAACAGGCGACTCGCATGCGACATGCCCTTGGTCGCCGCCTTATCGCGTGGCACTCTCTGGGCGGGTGCCGTTGGTGGGTGTGGCAGCACTTGCAGGCTGCATCTTAGGTTCTCTCTCGTAGAGAAAATATTCCGCGATCCCCAGTATCCGTACGCGATTTCGACCACGGCCGTGCTTCTTTACCCGTCGGCGTTAAGTTTATGCCACGGCCCCCTTTGCGAGCCATGCTCCCTCCTCGCTGGTGTACGGAGTAGCTGCCTTTCCTTTTACCCCTCATCTCTCGCCCTGGTATCCCTTCCCTTCTCTTTTTGCTCGCTCACCCGCCAAATTCCAAGTGACAATGTCATGAATGCCCGAACCCGGAAGTGCGGACAAAATTCATGCGGAGGGCAAGCCAACCTGGTCATGGAAAACCCGGGAACCCACAACTGTGAGCAACGAACACTGAGCAGTGTGGGAACTGCAGTAGCTGGACTTAAGGGAGAGGAGCCGGTAGCCGTAAGGTTTAATTAAGTAAGCACTCCAAGCCAACAAGGCTCAAGCCAAACCCAAGGACCCAACGAAGCGATCTCTATTACCTACTCGACCGGGGCTGTTCCCGACTTTCGCATAATCTTCAGTCCAACGGTTTATACGTGACCGGCTGTGGCCCTCCCTGAAAGTATTCTATCTAAATATCTGTGTATAATCCACAGAACGGCGAATTTTTAATAACTTTGAAAAGAACAGTCTCTTTTGGACGTGTTAGAGAGATATATAGCAATGGCCCATATAAAATCAAACAATGTCTGTTGTTTCTGCCCCTTGACTCTGATGGCGTGATAAACCACAAACGAACATTATCCACCCAGCGGAACGTAAACCGAGTAATGCCTTTTTTCTCAAGTCATCATGGATGGCTCCGTGGCAGATGCTGATTCGTAAGGTGGATAGATGATGGTGGTCGGCAAACGACTCAGGCTTTACTGGTTTGTCACGACTCAAAACATATCAGTCGAGAATTATTAAACGTAATATTTCATATTCATGATATTTTCGTGTTTACCGTGCCGCTCAATCTGAGTTATGTCCAGGTTACTCAGAAACGAAAGCCAAAGAAAAAAACGCCCGCTAGTTTCCGTACAGGCGCTATACAAGTAACCAACCGCAGCATTTTCAGAAACCCCTTCATCCTAACTAGTACTCGTACCCATACTATCACATTTGAATACACTTGTTATACGACAGCCTGAAGGTTGATCCGGGGCTCACAGCTCTTCTGACAGCGAACTGTCATGGCCACCTCCATATTTGTCTCTCCCCCAATTCGCCGGATCGCCGCCGGGCATACACAGCCCGAGTCTCCAAAAATAGTCCCGGTGCGCAAAGAGCAGCTGCCAAAGCTTCAGTCGAGCAGGGAAGCCCGGTAGCCTCTTGATCCATCTGCTGGTCTCCTCAACGAGTCCCTTTGGCGGTGCCAACGTCGATTTCGCAGCAACTTCGACAAAGTCTTTCAGCCTGGATCCGAAGAAGCTATCGTCCGCCTTCGTGATGCAGCTTCCGTCGCTGTCACCGCGACAGGCCACGACGTCTTCCAGAGACGGAGACAGCTCTGCCTTGGAGATATAGAACTCCCCGGCGTGAGGCTTGTACCCCCACTCTGTAAGTGGGAGCAGCGGCACTGGGTCGTCGGCGTGGGTCACGCGACGGTAGGTCCGCTTCGAGATGTCCTCGTCCTTTTCGCCCTTCAAACCAAAGACCTCGTCGACATAGTCTACAAGACCCTGATTGCCGACCTTGGGCTCACCAAAAGTCGTGACTCTGACGTTGTCCCAGCCAAGGGAGATCTTGAGCTCGAGAGATGCCAGCATGGCAACAGCGCCACCGAGACTGTGACCGACCAGGTGAATGGGATAGTCCGGGTATTGCTCCCTCAGCTTCTTCACCTCTGGAATGACTAGCCTCCGCGCCTGGCGCCACGACGTCAGGAAACCCAAGTGGACGGTGCAGTCTTTGCACTTGCGTTTGGGCTCATTGGGTGCCTCGCCCCCTTCATCGGGAGACGGGTACGGTACATATTCCTGCGGGATGGTGCTTAGGTCGACAATCGTGTTGGAAATACTGTAGGTGCCCCGGAAGGCGATGATGATAGCCTTCTCCCCGACCTTGCCATTAAACCTGTCCTCGTCGCCAGGCCTTCGAACGCCGTGGTCGACGGCAATGTAGCCGCAGCTGTCGCTCAGCAGGACGCCCGTGTTCCAGGTCGAAACGAGCGTGAAGGAGGGAAACTCCTTGCAGCGCGAGACGCACGAGAAGGGCTGCGATATACCCGTGGTGCCGACGCAGTAGGTGATGTCGACTACGCGCGACGTGCGCTCGAGGGATCGGAAGAGCTCGACGGAGATAGGCAACGGGGGTGCAGCATGCTTGGTGTCGTTGCTCGATAGTAATGGTTGCTGCGGCTGCGGCTGCGCGGTGTCAAACGGTGTCGCTGAAGCTAGGCCAACCAGTGGCGCAAGCTGTAAGCAGGAGAGGAGATATCGCACTGGAGGGAGCATTCTGTTCCGTTTGGGTTGGCGATCTTGTCTACGTCCCTTTGAAATTGCAGGCTATGATCGATCGCGCAGGCTGATAGACATTGCACAGAGAAGTGTTTAGTTTGCTCAATGTAAGGTGACCATCCAGGTTGAGCAACGTGGATGGATCCAGCTTGAAGAGAGACAGCGACGTCGGTAGGAATTGGCTGTTGAGGGTTCGATTTATGATCGTGGCGATTTCGACAATGTACCACGTTTAACGGCAGGGAAAGCCTGAAAGCGTGACCCTTCAAAGGCGCATGATGACGATTGCACCCGTGCAGGTTCCTACTAGATTAGGTATTTTGTTGAGACGGATGTGAATGGTGCGTATGTTCAACGATGTACTCGTATTACCTAGGGTACTGAAGGGTGGATGGAGAGAGGAGAGAGTTGGACGGGATACCGACGTCTCAGGGCTGATCTCGTGAGGGTGACCGCGGTGAGGTCATTCCGTCATCCAGAGAGAAACCTGGAGCGAATTGAGGGAAGCGGCAGTGAAGAAGGTGCTAAGCACGGCGTGCCTTCCATGCAAAATGCGGAGAGGCGCGGCCAAGCGACGCTTGCCGACAAACGGTTGGTCCTGGGTGGCCCTCTTCCCCTGTGGCTGCCGGGGAAGGACCTGGGATTGGGCTGTCATCCCCCGCGAAAAGCTGTCAACGGGGCGGGTCTTCTCACCCTCTTGAAGTCCTGCTGACCATTTGGGACCCGAATGTCGAGAACAAGTGTGGATGACTTCAATTTCCATCATCTCATGCGCAATGTGGATAGAAGCCTAGGTCTATTGCTTATTCTATTCGGGAGTTGTCGTGCCTTCATTACGAATAACTTTCATTTTGCTTTTCCTCTCATCAGGAAAGGTTCTGTTTAGGGCCTACCATCTGTAACTGTAACCCAAGAACCTCTCAGCGTGTGCTCACTCATGTATGTTTCATCATCCATGAACACTGTCATGGCGTCTCTTTTTGTTTGCTTTTTTACGTTCATCCCATGATTACTCTCCTCCGCCCTCTCAACCAACCGGCTGGATGCTGAAGAATCTTGATCGGATGTCGTCCGAGTTGGACTTGCATGCAACGGCTGCCCTCCTTGCACGCCTGTGTGACCTGGCGGCATTGCCCGTCCCGTTCGCGGCACCTCCGTCGCACACCAACGGAACCGCGGCCGTCCCGGAAGCCTCGTAGTCGGCGGCACTGAGCGAAACATGTCAGCACGTTGAACATGGGATTTCTTCACAGCTCTGCGTGTGAAAGAAGAACAGTTGACTTACCCGTCGTCACCAGGGCAAACCTTCTCGATGACTGTGATCGTGCCATTCTGCCAGATGAATTGCACACTAGCGTTGTCGCAAGCGTACCTCGGTGTCCGCCCGTCACCGGACACCGGTACCGATGAGGCGTTGAGGTGGCACTGCGTGTTGAGAACGGTGCTGTCGTCGTTGAAGGTAAAGTCGAGCGAGTCCGCCGTCTTGCCATCCGCTGATTCGGCGGTAAAGTTTTGGATCTGGAAGTCATCGGGTAGGTTGCAGTCTTCTGATGCCTCGACCATGGCCATGAGCTTGTCGGGAACGGCTGACATGTATGAGACCGCGGCCTGTGCCGCGGGGACGGCAATGAGGAGGAGTGACAGCTTCATGGCTTGCGTGTGTTTTGGTTTACGAGCGCGGTATGATCAAGGATTGTAGGTATGCTTTTCTAGACAAAGAGTGCCAACGTTAGAGGAAGAGATAAACGTTCCAACAATTGAGGAGGAAACGGAAAGACTGGAAAGATGGGATGATCAGAGGTCAAGGACTATGCTGATCTAGTAGTCTTGCTGACAGCTGCTTCCCAGATGAACCTTTATTAATAAGGCCCGATTTAAGCACAGGATCACAGACCTAGCAGATCTTCTATGCTGTTCCTTGCAGGAAACCGCTATTCAGGGGTGGCTACGATGACATGGCTAAACTCTCATTAAGGGCGAGAGCAATACGCAGATCCTGATGTAATTGTCCGAGCCGCCCGCGTTAACAGGATGGCTGAGGTGCAGGCGGTTGGCCTCTTAGCTCCATAGTAGGGGAGAAGGGCATTCCCAGCCCGCCATTAAAGATGGACTCCAAGGATACTTTAGTAAAGAACTTACGAGTGGCCTTAATGCAGCATATACGAATGGTAGCAGTAGTAGCGGTGATGCGTGGGAGGTTGATGCTCGTCGGTTGGCATTTTTGGTCCTTATTCAGGGGAAGTATTGGACCTGATTGGCTCCTGCGTGTTTCATGTTTCCCAGCATGGCACCCTGCGCTGGTCCACGCCTGGGCTGTTGATCACATCTGAGATCCCCCTTTCTTGGAAGCGGACGCCAACAGCCAACCGACGGCTAAGTTGGGTAAACGTAGATCTGCCCCACTGCCCTTATTGCCTTGCTTCTCCAAATGCTGTTCAGCCTGACATAGGTGGACGGCACTATTCTGTCAAGGGACGTACGAGAGGCTGTGCTCAGGGGGCTGGGGCTCCATAGTCTTGAGTAAGGTACGACTGTGGCTTCAGTGCATGAGGGGTCTGAAATTCGAGGGACTTGGACAATGGCCCCATACTGTAAGGGGGAAACAAGTGATGGAGTGAACAGGAAAGCTTGGACGGACGATCCCGATGCGCGGCTCTGCTGCCAGAGTGAGCACTTTGGCTGGCTGGCTTAGCCAGGCCGTTGAAAGAAGATACAAATGTATCAGGCCCAGCGTGCATCCTCTCTGGCTCGTGTTGGCTGAGCTCAGGTACAGATACGAGATGCATGCAATGGGTGAGTCAAGTTACCTAGACATAGCTTGGACGCAGCCTTCGGTTCCAGAACCGTACCTTCGTAACTTACGGATACACGGCGAGCTGGTTGTATGGGAAAGTCGGTGAAGTGGAAGTGAAGCGTAGAGAATCAGCCGTCAAACCAGTGCTGAGGCTTGCGTCCCCATGATGGGCACCACCACCGGCCGTATCTTTGTAAGACGTTGTCTTGACCAACTCACAATTGCTATTTCCCCTCAATGCTGCCTACCTTGACAAACATTCACGTAAGGGAACCATCCTGTTCTGTACCGATAGACGTGTGCCTCATCGAGGCGTTGCAATGGGAAGAGATTAATCCGTAGAATAGAGAACATCTCGGGGTATTTCGTCTTCTAGAGATGGAAGCCAATCAGAGCCTATCGGGGATAATCCAGCCAACCTCTCTCAAGGACTCCACCACCTTACCCAGCCCGGCCCGCAGAAGCCCCCATAAAATCCAACGACCTGCAGCCTTTGACAAACCCCAAGCCACGTGACCGCACAAACCCACCCGCCGAAAATTCCCAATCCGCCATTGCAACTTTTTTTTCGTAGTCGACTGGTTTTTTTGGCTTTTCCCCCTCCGACCATCACGACAATACTAACCCGACAACCCACCCGTCATCCAGCATTCAAGATGGCCAAGGAAGCGCCCGTCAAGACCGGTCTCATCACCGGTCTCAACCATGGACACGTATGTCGAACCATTACTACCACCGCAACCATCACCGCCGCCGTCCCGACCTGAGAGAAAAGCCCCTCCGAAATTCTGCGAAACGAAATCTTCGAACTTCCGATTATGGAAATACGATTCGATGATGGATACACACATTGAAGAATGAACACACAGAAGGATGGGCTTTTCTGTCAAGAAGGGAAATCGGCGGCACTGTCCCCTCTCCCCCACACCCGCTTCGTCTCACCTCGTGGAGGATCTCTGCACAACACCTCTCTTCCCACGAGGGGACCTTATTTGCAGAAGATGGACGCTGACCGGTCGTGATTGTTTCGGAAATATAGAAGACCACCGCTCGTGTCGTCAAGCCCCGTGTCTCCCGCACCAAGGGCCACCTGAGCAAGCGCACCGCTTTCGTCCGTGACGTCGTCAAGGAAGTCTCCGGGTAAGTTTCCACCCACATACCATCTCCATGTGTCCACATTATATAACCCTGGACGCACTTCACATCCACATCCAAACCGGACAACAAGTTGCTAACCACATCCCTCCTCCACAGCCTTGCCCCCTACGAGCGCCGCGTTATCGAGTTGCTCCGCAACTCCAAGGACAAGCGCGCCCGTAAGCTCGCCAAGAAGAGGCTCGGCACCTTCGGCCGTGCCAAGAGAAAGGTCGAGGAGATGACCCGCGTCATCGCCGAGTCCCGCCGTGTCGGTCACTAAACGATTTTCTTCTTCGAAAGGAATTCGTCAAAACCAAAATGGGGCGCAACGGGGTTGTTGTGTTGGACTGGCAAACTACTGGGTTTATATGGGTCAAGGGCGTGGTCACAGCATAAAAGTTTGTGGTCTATTTCTAAAAACAAATCAACGGAAGACTCCCCCGTATCATCATGGAATGATGATGCCTTTACGACAAATACCAAAATTTCAAGCACAACACATTGCTTCCTCAGACTCTTTTCTTTGACACTGTTCATATTCCGTTCGCTCTGAAGTGATCATATACTCTCGTGAAGGCTCTGATTGACGACTTGACCATAGTCTATCTGGTTTACCCTATGCCCCATGAAACTCCAAATCCATGAATACGCTCGCCATGCGAAGATGGCCGAGTAATGCTGCAACATTGTACAAAAGATGATCCGTCTATTTCTTTCCAGGCAGCTTGAGCCACTTGGGAAGTTTCTTCGCAACGCTGCCATCCCCACTTCCCTCCCTCTTCTCAGGTTTCGACGACGAAGCAACAGTTTGCTCCTCATTCGTGTCGTCGCCTTTGGGAATGTCCGGTACTGTGACATCCTGAGCCTTTTGAGCGACGCTACCCTTGAGGAAGGGCTTCTTGCGGATATCTACTGGCACGCTGTCATCCCAGACCAGACTCAGTAACACACTACGCGTGAGCTTGTAGTCGTGTATCAAGCGGTTCTTTGCGCTCTCATCATCCTTAATTATGACCTTGCTGCCGGGTATGACCAGCTTGAAGGGTTGAGTATTGTGTGCCATGACAGATCTCACGCCCTGGTGGAGGGTCGCCCCTGTAGCTTCATGGCCAAACGTCCATTGTGCTGAAGTGTTGTCGGGAAACCGCACCTTCATTGGAACTGTGGTGACAGCCGCTAGACGGGCTTCCTCGGCCTGTCTTTGCGCCTCTAACTCTTTGTCGGAAGGAAGTCTCTTGTTGAGCGCGCTCTGCTGGAGTCGAGCCTGATGAAGCTGGGCGTGGGCAATCGTCGGGGCGTAGTCGTCCTCTGGCACGTCTGCAAGGGCTGCCGCGGGAGTGGTTCCGCTTGGTGCCCGGAAGACGCTGACAGGCTGCAGAGGGTCTGTCGGCTCTGCTTCATCAACCTCCATGGCATCTGCTGCCGGCGCCTCCTGATCTGCTTGTTCTTGCGTTGGAGTGCCGCCTGTCTGTCCAGCCGTTGTGCCCTTTGGCGTCTCGATGGCAGTTTCAGCTGCTGTAGACTCTGTTCCCTCCGTGGCGGGCGCCGGAGCTGGAGCCGTGGCCGCCTTCTTCTCCTCTGCCTCAACTTCAGAAAAGAATTGGCTGATTTCCTCCATAGCCTGGAACAGCGTGCGGTCCGTCTTTTTGAACGACAAGCGGATCAGCACGCTGCCCGAATTGTATCCAAGTTGCGACAGTGTCTTCTGAAAGTCCTCAAACGTGGAAAGCTCCCGACCCATGATGTTTAGGACTGGTGTCTCGTAGTACATCTGACCGCTTCCACTCGCGCCTCCGCTTGTTGTTTGCGCAACGCCCCGTGCTGTGATGTTGAAGTTCTTCCCATTCCCAGCGACGCCGCTCTCAAACTGGCGCAGTACCTTCCATATCGTAAAGTCGCTAGGTAGTTTCTCGATTAAACGACCGTTGGGCGCCGAGTTGGCTTCGGGCATCGGCAACTGGAGTGCGACGGAAACGGCTGATGGTGTCTTGGACTTCTGGACGAGCTCGAGTTTGGCGCCGGGGGTGAGACCGCTCACTCGCCAGACTACTGAGAGGTCGACTGTCTTCTGCTTGTGCCTAGCAGATGGTTAGCTTACTGCGAGGAAGGGTGGTCTTCAGGGATGAGTAAGGTACTTCAAGAGGTATTTGTCGCTCGAGACGTTGAGCTTCTTGCATGCCTCTTGGAGAACATCTGTCATGTAGGTGCCTGGGCTGACCTTGACAGTAGCTCTCCGCAAATCCGTGCCGATGACCACCACGTGCGACATCGTAGCAACCGAGAGAAGCCGTGGGCGAAAACGCAGTGTCTTATTCTTTTCAACAAACAAACGTATTCAGTCGTAGTGAAGTTGCTGTTCGGTAGAGATTGAAATCCGATCCGGGGTATCGTGTTCAGTATGTTGTTGGCGGGGTTCAAGTCTCGGGGGGGGGCGGGCGTTGCGTCAAGCTCAGGTGGTGGTGTATTAGTTACGTAGAAGTTGGCGGAAGGACGACGAAACACAATGTCAGGAAGTCCAGTTCGGCCTGATGTCCGGGACAAGTGTATACTGGACGTTTTCAGCCGGCCTCAAGTAAAACCTTGTGTATAGGTAATAATAGAAATAAGAAGCTACGGACAGTAAACAATCGTTTCTTAGTTGAATCGTCAAGGTGAATGAGTCTTACTCAGGTACAGGTAATTCAGGGAGGTACGTAAGGCTGGGAAGCAGGCAGTAAGGGTGCTCCGTCAGCAGAGGCGACGGGAGCCGGGCCCTGGCCGGGGAGGGGAGGTGGGACGTGCATCATCGAGCACCACCACGCTGAAAGCTGCTGAAGCCAAGCTCAGGCCAATCAGCGAGCTCCAGCTTGCTGTACGTGGATTTTCCGAGCGCTTCGGCCGCGCCATGCGTGTTTGCCTTGCCCTGCAGTAGCACCCAGCACCCAGCAAGAGCAGGCAGGTAGCGCTACACCTCAGCATTCCGCATCGGTTCAACGTCAATCGCAGCTGCAACCACCACCATCACCACCAAACGAACTCCCCATCTACGACGACGACGCCCCCCACGGCCGACCCTACGATCCATCACGAAATAATCACGGTCAGAACCACAACCTTGAGAATCTCTCAAACCATACCAGAACCCAGCGGTCACTCGCTTTAAGAGCCCGAAATGGTGCGCTTCCGTCATTCCCCCTCCCCTCCTCAGCCTCGAGATGCAAAAGGAAACCCCCTCCAGCTAACCAAAGTCCCAGAGCTCTCCCTTCTCCATCAGTTTGTCTTCCTCTTAACCCCCATATAGGCCCTATCTTCTCTCTATCGAATCACCAATTCCTAACCTCCTCTCCCTCTCAGATGGCGGTGCTTGCGTCGCAATGGTCGGCAAGGACTGTGTCGCAATAGCCTGCGATCTCCGTCTCGGCCTCCAAGCCCTCACCGTCTCCAACAACTTCCCCAAAATCTTCCAGTACGGCGACGTCTTCCTCGGTCTCACCGGCCTCGCCACCGACGTCACGACCGTCGGCGACCTCTTCCGCTACAAGGTCAACATGTACCGCCTCCGCGAGGAGCGCAACATCGCCCCGACCACCTTCGCCAACCTCGTCAGCTCCTCCCTCTACGAGCGCCGCTTCGGCCCGTACTTCGTCTCCCCCGTCGTCGCCGGCCTTGACCCCAAGACGGGCAAGCCCTTCATCTGCGGTTTCGACAGCATCGGCTGCATCGACTTCGCCAAGGACTTCATCGTCTCTGGTACGGCGTCTGAACAGCTGTTCGGCATGTGCGAGAGCTTATGGGAGCCGGATCTGGTACGTGGCATATGGCGAATCAACGATCCAGGAATTCTAGCAGAAACTAACGTGGACGTCACACAGGGCCCTGATGAGCTCTTCGAAACCATCTCCCAGTCGCTTCTGAACGCCGTTGACCGAGATGCACTATCCGGATGGGGAGCGCACGTGTACATTATTGAGAAGGACAAGGTCACCAAGAGACTGCTCAAGGGCAGACAAGACTAATTCTTGCGGAGGAACTCGGTGTTGAGGAAGAGAAAACTTGATAGAACCGCTACAAGTGGACGGGTTCTACCTAGCTTGTACCAATAGATGGACGTGATCCACTATGAGATGGCTGCCGAAGCCTGCATGAACTAGACAAATGACCTTGATTTACATCCTTATTTGTGACTTTAATGCCTGGACGTTGGCTGCTGTGGTCTATGTACAGCTCTGTGCAATGTTGCCAGGGCTACTACTATGGTACAAGTGATCTATGGTCTAGCTTTGGGCTGGCCTCTAACCATCTAATTCTCCTTCTTTGCCTTGGTAGACTTGATCGCCTTCTTCTGACTGAAGTACGATCTCTCAATAGCCTTGAGGACCTCATCAATGAGACTAGAAAGAACAGAGTCAGCAACAGTAGATGAGCGAGCGAGAACGATGGTCGACTTACATAACAGGGGCGCTGATGTACAAGACCGCCTTCCACTCCAACCAGTTCAAGGGAAGGATGGAGAACAGGTTCTGGAGGAAAGGAGTGTAGAGCAGGGCGAAGTGGAGAGCCATTGAAAGAGTAATGGCATAGACAAGCTTCATGTTAGCCCAAAGAGGCAGGGACAGCAGAGACTCGCTCGAGGACAGCGCGTTCATGGCGTTGAACATCTCGATGACGACCAGAATGGAGAGCGAGACGGTCGAGGCGGACTTGGCGGAGCTGTTGGAGAACATCTGGCAGCCAATCTCAGGGAAGTCTGCAGAGCAGCGGTGGAAACGGGAGAGGTGGTAGAAGCTGATCTGAGGACCCTCGGGGTTGTACATGAACCACCAAGCATAGCCAGCGACAGTCGCAACACCAACGTAAGTACCAATAACCAGGTAGCGGAAGAACAACCAACCGCCGATGAGAGGCTCGTCGCGCTTTCTGGGCTGGCGCTTCATAATGTCGTGGTCAGGAGGGTTGAACGAAAGAGCGGTGGCGGGAAGACCGTCGGTGACCAAGTTGACCCAGAGGAGCTGGACGGGGATCAAAGCCTCCGGCATACCGAGAGCGGCAGTGAGGAAGATGGAGACAACCTCACCGATGTTGGAGGAGATCAGGTAGCGGATGAACTGCTGGGTGTTGTTGTAAATGGAACGACCCTCCTCAATAGCAACCTCAATGGTAGCAAAGTTGTCATCGGCGAGAACCATGTCGGCGGCGAGCTTGGAGACATCGGTGCCAGAGCCCATGGCGACACCGATATCAGCCTTCTTGAGAGCGGGAGCGTCGTTGACACCATCACCAGTCATGGCGACGACCTCTCCCTGTTGCTGGAGAAGGTCGACAAGCTTGGACTTATGGCTGGGCTCGACACGGGAGAAGAGGGATGCGTTTCGGGCAGCTTCGTTTGCCTCGCTGTCGCTCAGGTTCTCAAACTCTCTGCCAGTGAAACTCTTGCCCTTGAGGTCTTCATATTCGTCAAAGACACCAATCTGTCGGCAAATGCTCTCAGCGGTGTTGCGGTTGTCTCCAGTGATGACAATGACACGAATTCCGGCGTTCTTGCAGTGGCGGATGGAAGCGGCAACTTCCGGACGAGGAGGATCAAGCATACCAACCAATCCGAGGAAGGTCATGTTCTGCTCAATCTGGGCGTACTGTGCGGTAGACTTGGCTGACTTCAAGGCGGGGTTCTCACCAATGTTGTCGACGCTGGCGAGGGCGATGACACGGAGACCACGGTTACCGTAGTCAACAACTTCCTTGGCGATCAAATCGGCGAGCTTGCTGTTCAGGGGCTGGCGCTTTCCGTTGGCTCCAACAAGAGTGTGGGTGCAGCGTTCGAGGACAGACTCAGGAGCACCCTTCACCAGGAGCTTCTTCTCTCGGCCGTTCTGAACCAGGACGGACATGCTCTTGCGATCTCTGGAGAATTCATAGGTAGACAGACGGGGGAGCTGGCTCTCATACTGAGAGCTAGCGTAGTGAAGACAATCCTCGGGGTTGCTGTTGGAAGGCGCACACGGTCCAAGCTTCTCAACAAGAACTCTCAGAGCGCCCTCAGTGGGCTCACCGACGTTGGAGAAGGTACCCTTGGCCGCATCGTAGGCGAGCTTGGAATCGTTGCACACGGCGGCAACCTCAGTCATCTGGCGGACAGTAGCAGAAGAACGTGTAAGATCGGTGACCGTCTGGCCTCTGAGAGAGATAGAACCCTTGGGGGCAAATGTGGTGCCTTCGACATCGTGCTCAACGAGGTCTGATCCGTTCTCGCTGATGTAGACAAGCTTGCTGACACTCATCTGGTTGGTGGTGAGGGTACCGGTCTTGTCGGAGCAAATGACGCTGCAGCTTCCAAGGGTCTCCACAGACGGCAAGCTTCTGACGACGGCATTCTTTGCAGCCATCTTGCGAGTTCCAAGAGCCAAGCAGGTAGTAATGACAACGGCGAGACCTTCGGGAATAGCAGCAACACCGAGAGACACGGCGATCTTCAAGTAGTAGATGGCACCCTTGGTGAAGGATCCGTGGCTGGGGTCGCTGAAGTGAGGGATGTTGATGAGCCAGACGAGGATGCAAATGACCGTGATAACCTTTGCAAGACTGTCGCCGAAGTCATTGAGCTTCTGCTTAAGAGGAGTGGGCTCGGAGATCTGGGCGGTGATACTCTCATGGATGTCGCCAATAGCGGTTTGGGAACCAGTCAAGACAACGACAGCCTTTGCGCGACCAGTAACAACAGTGGTTCCAGAGAACAACATGTTGGTCTGGTCTTGCAACACAGCCTTCTCATCCTTGACAACATGATCGCAGTCCTTGCCAACACTCTCGCTCTCTCCAGTCAAGATAGCCTGGTCGACGTTGAAGCTGTTGCTCTCGATGGCAATGATACGGCAGTCGGCAGGAATGCGATCACCAATGTGGACGGAGACGACATCACCGGGGACGAGCTCCTCAGCCTTGACACGGGAGACTTGGCCGTTACGGATGACGTTGGCAGAGTTGGCAGAGTACTCCTGCAGGGCGGCGATGGCTTTCTCGGCGCTGCTCTCTTGTGAGACACCGACGACGGCGTTGAGGATGAGGATGGTCAGAATCTGGAAATCGGCATTGTTAGCCGGGCAAAGTCTGGGCATTGTGGGTATTCGCATCCAAGATTACGTACCACAGCTGGGTCGACGAAGGCGCTCCAGCCTTCCTCGTTGTCGAAGAGCGCCAGAACGAAAGAAACAGCGGCAGAGCCGAGGAGGATTATGACGAGTTGGTCCTTGAATTGCTCGAGAATGAGCTCCCAGATGGGCGTCGGAGGTTCTTCGGGGATGACTGTGGACGGACTGTTAGCACGAAACTATCGTGGGTTTCGGGTCGAGTCGCAAAGCTACTTACCATTCTTGCCATGCTTGGTACGCGAGGCAATGACTTGATCATCAGTAAGGCCGGTCTTGGGGTTCACTCCCAGGGTTGAGAGGACCTTTTCGGTGGGTGAAGCGAATGCGCTCTCCATCGCGAAAGCTGCGCTGCGCGCGGGACTTGTCTTGTCGAGGAACCGTCACTATCTAGCCGAGTTGCAGCGGCCGTCGGAGTCTGTTGTCGAATGGGGAAACGGTGGACACGAAGGAACTCTTCAAGTGGTGTTGAAGAGAGAAAGGGAAAACCGAGATCCGAACCTTGTGAAAGAAAAGGCTAAGGATGTAAAGGAGAAAAAGAAGAAGGTGCTGGAAAAGTTGCGATCAAACAGACAGCGTATCTTATTGCCGTTGCGGTGGGGCAGGAAGCTGAAATCGTCGCCGAACTCCCACTGGGATTCCAATACGCTCTACGTGTTCGTTCAGTGTTTGCCTAGCAGTAACAGTGCGGAACGGATAGCTGCCCCTTCTGGAACCTTTTTTTTGGCCGTCGAGGAAAGATCCCGAGCTTGTCCTTTTAGGGCTAGCGCTGGTGGGGGAGCCCCTGTAACAAGAAACAAGACTCCCAAGGTCCCAGCAATTCACCTGTGCGTCCCTGGCAAACTGGCCCGTATCTGTCCATATCGGGGACCAGCCACTGCGGCCCCGACGCAGAAAAACGTGGGGCAGGGACCAATTAAAGCCACTATACGGAAGCCGATAATCCGGAGCGTAGGGCAGAGTGGAGGGGGAAAGGGGAGCTCTTTGACAAGAACCTGGCAGCCTGGAAACGATACGGAGTACGTACCCGCCTAGCTGACCTGATAAGCTTACACACTGGTGCGACTACAGTGCTGACTGATCATTTATCGGAAGTGCCTGGTGTGCCTGCGTTTCGTACCGTGCTGTGCCTGAGTGGCACGGGTGGTAGAAGTCCCCCGTAATGACATAATCACCTTGTTCACGTGACTGGCTAAAGGTTCCCTTTCCGATTGAGGCCCGCCGTCCCCGTCTCGAGTGGACCAGCACTAGGCCGCTCCGGAGCCACTTGGGGCGCTCGCGCCGAGCCCGAGTCAGGGTTGAGGAACGCCGCCAACGTACGGAAAACGGCCTGCAACCATTGCATCCACATCGTCCGCATGTCTTGCGTAAGGCAGGACGAAGACGTGGGTCATGGAGGCGACTGACACCCACTTTGGAGTCTCGGGGTATCGAGATCACGTCTTCCATGTAGTCCCGCCAAATACTCATAGTCGAGCGATATGGATAACCCGTACCGTCAAGCCACCGAGACTCGTGTGGTGGGCGGCGAGACCAAACGTTCGGTCCAGATCAATAGACGACTAAATCACTAGACTGGCGAAGAGGTTTCTTTGTCTCCCGCTCGCTACGCCGCGCATCAAGACATGGCGCTCATGGCGCTGATGGACCGCGGCCCGTCACCGCAATGTTGAGCTTTTCACTCTCGGACACACCATGCTGAACCAAAGTCTGCATCGAGCTTCAGCAGGAACTCCGAACCGGCGGCAGCTTCGTCTTCCGGCAGAATTTGTGCTACGATGGCATCCAATTCGCGTCCAAGACGCAAGATCCACGGATCTTGACCCGACAACGATGCACACTAGAGACGCGTTCTCTGGCCCGGCGGGCAGGCT